CTTGGTCCGTTCAGGCTAGGAGAACAAAATACCATAGACAGGGTGCCTTCTAAACAACAGAAATTTACCATTCACAGTTCTGGAGGCTGGAAGTCTGAGGCTGGTGTGCCAACATGGTCAGGTGAGGGCCCTCTTCTGGGCTGCACACTTTCACTATGTCCTCACAGGGCAGAACGGGGTAGAGATATCTTTGAGCCTCTTTCACAAGGCACTATCATTTTCAAGAGGGTTCCACTCTCATGACCTAAGCACCTCCCGAAGGTCCCACCTACTAATACCATCATCACCGTTGGGGGTTTGGGTTACAGTGGATGAATTTGGGTGGGACACAAACATTCAGATCATAGCAATAGATAAACAAAATGTGGTATAGCAATACAATGGAATATTATGCAGCCATTAAAAAGAAAGAGATCCTGTCACATGCTACAACATGGATGAATCTCAAGGACATTATGCTGAATGAAATAAGCTAGTCACAAAAGGACACATACTATATGATTCCACTTACACGAAGCATTTAAAGCAGTCAAAATCATAGAAACAGTTAGTAAAAATGTGGTTTCTGACGGCTGGGGAGAGGAGGAAGGGGAAATTTGTGTTCAGTGTGTTCAGACCTTCTGTTTTACAAGATGAGAAACTTCTAGAGATGCACTGCACAACAATATGAATATATTTAACACTACAGAACACCCAAAACCAGTTAAGATAGTAAATTTAATGTTATGTGTTTTTTTACCACAATTAAAAGAACTATTTTGTATTTTCTTTGTTTTTTTAAATCCTTTCAACACCTAGTACTTAATTGAACAGCAATATATACCTGTAGTTTAAAAATAACAATTACTGTGTATTTTTAGCCTCTAGTCCTTTCCCCATAGGGAGAAATGCTATTTGTAATTTGTTGTGTATCTTTCCAGAATTATTCCAAATGTTTGCATGCATATGTATTTGTTCATCTCGGGAACTTCGAATGGGAGCACAGTGTACGTACGCATCACTTTTCCTTGCTTTAAAATAATGTTTCCTGAAGCTCTTTGTCAATAAATAGATTTACCTCCCTCTTTTCAAAGGAACGCATTCTATGTAATGCTATACCCTTCCATAAAATGGAGGTATCATACTTTATCTATGTGCTCATCTACTGGCAGAGAACTAGATCATGACCAGAAACAAGGACGTGAGCATTGTTCTCATAAGCACTTTCTGTGCAGCTCAGGTGTCCCCATGGGACTCATTCCCGGAAGCGGAATTTCTACTTGGTGTAGATTTAAGGTGCTGCTCCTTTGGGATTGTCATCTTCAGAGCTAAACAGCAGGTGTTTGGGACACTTTTATTTAATTTTATGGAAATCACCCTCCAAAGGTTTGTGAGAGTGAACTTTTCACGCATTTATAAACTTCTCTGTTTCATTTTTGTTTACTGCCTATTTCTATCTTTACCCATTTTTTTAAAGATTTTATTTTATTTATTTGACAGAGAGAGAGATAGAGCAGGAACACAAGCAGGGGGAGTGGGAGAGGGAGAAGCAGGCTTCCCGCCAAGCAGGGAGCCCGATGTGGGACTCGATCCCAGGACCCTGAGATCATGACCTGAGCTGAAGGCAGACGGTTAACGACTGAGCCACCCAGGCACCCTATCTTTACCCATTTTTAAATGATTTTTTAAATCTTACCCATTTATTTATAAGAATGCTTTATAGGGCGCCTGGGTGGCTCAGTCGTTAAGCGTCTGCCTTCGGCTCAGGTCATGATCCTGGAGTCCCGGGATCGAGTCCCACATCGGGCTCCCTGCTCGGCAGGGAGTCTGCTTCTCCCTCTGACCCTCCCCCCTCTCATGTGCTTGCTCTCTCTCAAATAAATAAATAAATAAATTAATTAATTAATTAAAAAAGAAGAATGCTTTATAAATGAAGAAAACTTACTCTTTGTGATATATATTTAAATTTTCCCCAATTTATGTTTGGTGTCTTCTCACGGCATTTTTTTCCACACATCATTTTCAAATTAATCTGATTTATCAGTCTTTTCTTTTGTAGCATCTGGGTCTCCCATTTTGCTTAGCATGCTCTCTCCAATTATCCATACAAAACATTTTCTAATTGCATCTAGTCCTTTCTCTGTGGCTGATTTATTTTAAATTGTATCTATTTAAGGTATAAAATAGGGATCAACCTTTATTTATTTTTTCCAGGTTGTCCAGTATCGTTTATTGAATAATCCATTTTTTCTCACTGATTTGAAATGCCATATTTATTGTTTGCTAATTCTATAAATATATTTATTAATGAACCCTATTGTGTTTCTTCACTAATCTTTGCATTAATATGCTAATATAAACAATATTAATATTAAGTAGTTTCAAACAGCTAGATTTAAACTTTGTAAGGCATTTTACTAACTTAACAGGAATAATTCCCTTTAATGCTATTGTTTTTACCAATCACTGTGGCTATTTCTGCATGAAAACATTTTAAGATGAAATTTAGAAAGACCTCATTTTATTTCAGGGTTAGTTTAGGATGAGCATACATTATTACACTATCAAGTCTTGATACCTAAGGACAGGGATTAATCCCATTTTTCTTTTATACCCCTTAATGGTGTCTTAAATATTTACTGGAGCATTTCTTGTCAATTTTATTGTTTCTGATTCTATTATAAATGAGGTCCATGGTTCCTTTATCTTTTAGCTAATTACTTATAGGTACAAAGAGAAATTAATTAATTTTGGAAATTGCTTTCATAAGGCGGTACATTGCTGAGTTATTTTATTTTTTTAAATTATTTCTCAGGAGAGTTTCTTATGTTCTCAAAGAGCATATAATGATAATTTATCTTCATTTCTAATTTTTATGCCTCTTGTATTATTTCCTCCTCTATCAGAATGCACTTAATAACTTGAGAATGTAAGGATAGAGACTTAGAGAGGAGGGCTTAACACATTCATCTTTTCAGGTCACATGGAATAAGTGCTTTTAAAAAGCCCTCCATATTCTCAAAAGTAAGGGAAACCCCAAATTTATTCTCTCTGAGACAAGTTCTGAAATAAGGCAGAAGTAGAAGTTCAAAACTTAATCCGGAGATGAACAAAAAATAAGGGGAAAGACTACTTTTTACCTAAGTAACACAACCCATTTATGAAGACAACTCACACATAGGACCCTCATGACAGAAATGTTGAGAAGCACTGATCTATTTAATTGGTGAACAGGCATCTATTTTACATCAGTGTTAATACTATTCCCTGCTTAATACTGCTCAGTAAATGATACTGGAACAACTAGGTAGCCATCTGGAAAAAAATCAGTAAGCCCGGATCCCTACCTCACACCTTAAATAGATACAAAATGGACTAAACCAGGGATCAAGCAACCTGTAGTCCAGAGCCACATGCAGCTGGCTGCATGTTTTTGTAAACAAAGTTTTATTAGAACACAGCCACACTTGTTCATTTACATAATGCCTGTGGCTGCTTTCACACAATGGAAGAGTTAAATAGTCACAACAGAGACTGTATGGTCTGTAACACTGAAAATATTTGTTATCTGTCTCTTTACAGAAAAAGTTTGCAGACCCCTGGTCTACACCGATATTTCTCTCAGTCTGAGGGAATATTTAGATGACATCCAGCTTCTGAACTGATGCCTGGAAAGTTTGAGGATTGTTAATCAGAAATTCTCATCATCTCAGAGTTTTAAGACTGGCGGCATTAACATTTTTTTAAATACTCAAAACCTGACATCCTCTTTTGCAAAATATTAATATTTATTTCATTGCTGCCTTTGTCTATACAAAAGCATAAAATGTGCTTGCATCAAAGGCAGAAAATTGTTCTTACTGCAGGTGGGCATAAAACCAAAGGAGTTATCAGGAGATGTGAACACAACAGTGGTCTCAACTACTACCCCTCACGCAGGGGCCATCTCCTCAAGACCCCAACCAGTTTGGCACCAAGCCACTTTTGAATCTCCTATGTCAAAATGAAAGGCCCAGGAAATCCTCCACAGAAAGCCCCAAGTACACATCACCCTTATGCATTCTGTGTATTTACAGTATCTGTAGAAATTGTAGAGTTGATTGTCACTCCATCTGAGACCAACTATTAGTACAACATCCTCTGAAGCTGAGCTGCCCGAGTTGCAACAGGCAGGAAGAATTTCTAGGAGATCCTGCTGGAGATGCTCCCTGAGCTTCCGTGCCTTCTGCCTCCCTGAGACTCGGCTCAGCGGCATTTCCTTTCAATGACTGCACTGCTGGAGAAACTTTTTTGGTAAGAATTTAATTTTTCCATCATTCACTTTTCTTGCTTAACACAAAAAGCGTTTTTATTTTTCTGCTCTTTCAATGAATAAAAAAAAAAAATCCTACTTTTAATGAAGTAGGTACAAAGGATTGGGAGAGAAACAAGCCAGAGTCCCTGACTCCAGAACAGAGGTGAAATAAGCACGAGATGAATGAATGGAGTAAAAGAGAGTAGTGCGTGAGAAATGAGAAAGAAGGGAGTGTCTAAGCAATTTCAGTAAAGAGTGAAGCTTTTCGGGTTGGGGAGGATTATCATTGACAAAGAAGGAAGGAAGGAAGGAAGGAAGGAAGGAAGGAAGGAAGGAAGGAA